ATTCTCTGGTCCAGACTAGATTATTTACAGGTCGTCATCACATACCTGGCATATGGTTTTGTGAGGCGTAAAAAAAATCTAATTTTTATGTAAAGAATTTATCTTCCGCAAGTGAGTGAGTGAGTGAGTGAGTTAGAGCGAGCGAGCAATTTATGAATGTATTTTTTCAGTTTCTGAATGTCCCTCGTGTGAGCTCGGGATGGGTGTGACCCTCCCCCCTTATCTGCAAATATATAGTATTGAAATTTGTTTTTGAAAATTCTGCAACTTATTTAGTAAAACCTTGTTGTTACGTGTCAATTCCCAAATTGAAACAACCAGTAAACACTGAAATCTGAAGTAAAAGAATTTAGTGTGAAACCAACAAACAACCGACAAATGGTATACAATCAACAAATGTATTACACAATTAACTTGATTTACAAATCAATACACATTACTGCACAGCAATTACAATGGAAAGTATGCAATAGAGTGGTAGTACAATGTTCAATGGCAGTATCAAATACAAAGTATGATGACAGTGGGGACATAAAAAAGTTCAGTGATAATAAAATTCACCTATCCGCAACAATAGTCAAGCTCTCGAGACAGGCCTAGGCTGGGAATCCGGGGTGATAAGTGATCTTCACACAACCGCTGGTCTTGATGTTATATGAGATGGAATGTGAGAAGAAATGTGAGATCGGACATGGACGCACCTGCTCTACTAATATAGTCGAAGTAGCTTCCAGCACTTTCCATACAGTGCTCAACCAGTCCAGTGTCACTTGAACATTACCAAATATTCCACGTTTCTATAATGATTGACATCCGTCCATGATATTCCGGAAGTTTACAATTACAGATAATTCGAGCATCTAAATATAATAGCTTCCTCACCACTGCTTACATAAAATAGTTCTACATTCCTGACAACTAATCATTGTCCAAATACAATGAACTACTGAATCTCAACAGAAACAATATAATACAGTTACAATCATTGTTTAACAATAAATGACACTTAAAATGGCACGGGTGGTCCGGGCGGTCCAGTCGGTTAAGGCGCCGCAATTCCCTGTGCGTCCCTTGGGAACGCCAGAAACCTATGATTGTGAGTTCGAATCCCGGTTCTCCCCGATTATGTTTGTAGGTTTGGCAGCACCATACCCTTGCTCGTGGGTTTCACCAAAGTGGTAAACGTCTAAGATCTGCATCACTTCAGGCTTTCCTCCCACATTAACCTGACGATATAACTGGAATACTGTTAAAAGGGGCATTATACCCAACTCACTCACTCATCATTTATCCAACACGTTTTCATAATCAGCACTGTACATTCCTTGAAGTGTCATAGAGCGTTACGGGTCACTCTACTTCCCGAAAACAGATGACTACCGGTAACAGAACGGATCTCATGCTGGGATTTATAAGGCACCAGGCCAGGTTGATATGGTCTCCATTCCCCAAATAAACAAATCGACCTGTGTCATGTAAGGAGTGATTTAATTTTACAGGTCGCACAGAAGTCTACTGTGTGTCCTATGACGGGGAACAGACAAACCATTGATCGATAATGTCACTTGAATCTACCAAGTCACAGACAATAACACACTATATCATCCTTGTCAAAACTGGAAGAGGTTCTAATGGAGGTCACCCGTCAAAACTATTGTCACCAAGCTGCCGTCTTGGGCTTGAAGAAGCAACACCGAGCCGTCTTGGGCCATCGGACAGGCAACACTGGGCCGTCTTGGGCCACCGGTGAAGCAGCATTTTTCGGTTTTGAGCCATCGGACAGGCAACACGTTGACGTCTTGGGTCATCGGGCAGGCACCACTTTACGGTCTTGACCTATATGACAGGCAACACTTTGCGTACGGAGATCTAATCAACCCCAGGTCCAGGGATAAGAATCAAATCATCCTTCAACACAATCCAAACACCATGTGACCTGTGCCTTTCCGTACAAGTGTGGGTCATTTGTCGGGCGCTTCTAACACCACGGCGCATATGAAGTAATTGTGCAGTAAGAGTTGCCTCCCTTCATTTCAACATTCTTTTACTTAAAAATCCATTACACTTTACTAGACACACGAGGTTTATTCTGCCTGGAATGTCACGTGAGGCCATGATTCCTGTCAGGGACAAGCGAAGCGTCCTGAACAAGACATGATAGGATAGCTCAGCAGGGTAGATCCCGCCCCGCAATCTAGAAATACATTTTCGTTCCCTGTGGATACTCTGTTAGAAAAGGTCCCCAGCAACCTTTGCTACCCGTAGGAGGCGACAAAACAGATTGGGTGGCCAGGGTTGGGGACATGGTTGATTGCGTGACATCGTATCCTCACGGCGCGGATCGCTGCTCACAATATCAATCACTGGATTGGCTGGTCCAGTCTCGATTGACAACCTGCCGCTTTTGATTAGAGCTGGAATATTGCGGAATGTGGCGTTAAACAAACCAACACTGGTAGCCAATATATCTCTGAATGGTTGGTTGGTTTGTTGTTTAACGCCGCACTCAGCAATATTCCAGCTGTATGACGGCGGTCTGTAAATAATCGAGTCTGGACAAGACAATCCAGTGATTATTATCATGAGCATCGATCCACGCAATTGGGATACGATGACATGCATCAGCCAAGTCAGCAAGCCTGACCACCGAATCCCGTTGGTCGCCTCATACGACAAGCATGAGGAAACGTAGACGTGTCAGTGAATTTGGGCTGAAAGCCTCTTTTGACAGTATCCATCTACACCAAGGCGTGTCAGCTCAATTTACGGCAAGCATGGGTAGCTGAAGACCTATTCTTCCCCGGATCTTCACGGGTCCTCTGAATGGTAGTACGTTGTGGCTGTTTTGTTGTTTTGCCAGAATAGGATAAGCAAACTGAAATTTATAGATATTATAGATTTTTAAAACACGTCTTGCACCTGAAGTACTTAAATACTTTGTACCAAGGTACAGACGTAATGAGATGTTTCTGTAATTACTACGTTTATATAAATAACAGAGTGTGATCTGTGATTGATTTGCGTGATGGGACCCGTGATGGAAGACTTCAATGAGCCGTGGCACTTGCTTGATTAGCGACCTGTAAATTGACATTTGATCAAATAATGTGTCAACCTACTTATGCGTTAATTATCGGAGATTTGATACTTTGATCTTTTACATGTGTGATCTGAGATTTGATACTTTGATCTATGACTTGTGTGATCTGCAATTTGATAATTTCATCCATATTTTTTTATGATCTGGGATTTGATACTTTGATCTATGACTTGTGTGATCTGAGATTTGATACTTTGATCTATGACTTGTGTGATCTGAGATTTGATACTTTGATCTATGACTTGTGTGATCTGAGATTTGATACTTTGATCTATAACTTGTGGCATTTGAGAAACTTTTGTCATCTGTAACTTATGTGACCTGTGACACACACAACACAAAATATAAACACCTTAACTAAACACAGAAAACACTGACACCTAAATCTGGTGACATATTTATCCAAATGAGATGTGTTGGGGTTCCTCAAGAACATTGCTAACAAACCCTTCATCAAACCGCCAAAGGCCACAGTGTCCACTGCTGTGTCTTGGTTATCAATTGCAAAAGAAACTTCAGGACAATTACCTCACAAGTAAAACTGAGGAATTGTTGTTTATCTCTGCAGTCGGTATTGAAATCTGCAAAGTGCAATATGTACCTTAGGTTGGTTGATATGGTGAGTGAGTGAGTGGGTGAGGTGAAATGGGGTTTAATGTCGCGTCCAAGATTATTGCACTTATATAGTAACGGAGAGAGTGAGTGAGTTGGGTTTAACGCCGCTTTTAACAGTATTCCAAATATATCACAGCATCTCAGTTTAATGTGGGAGGAAAGCCCAAAGTGATGCAGGTCTCTGACATTTACCACTTCGGTGAAACCCACGAGCACAGATATGGTGTTGACAGCCTAGAAACATCATCGGGGTGAACCGGCATTCAAGGTGAGGTGAAATTGGGTTTAACGTCGCGTCCAAGATTATTGCACTTATATAGCGACGTGCATGCACGTGTATGTGTGTGTGTGGCTGCTTGTACTAGTCCGGACTGATGCCGATTTATAGTGCTAGCCCACTGAGATACCATGCCGCAGTTTAACATGAATACCCCACTCAGACACAGTATACTGACTCCGAGCCGACCAGTCCTTGTTTTAGCCCCTTAATGCCGAGCGCCAGACAGGGTAACAACAAGTACAATCTTTTAACGTCTCTTTGTATGACGCGGCCCGGGATCGAACCCTGGACCTTCCGCTCTCCGGGCAGATCTACCACAAGACCACGGAGGCGGTCTGAACCGGCATTCGAACCAACAATCATAGGTTTCTGGCGTGCCCAAGGGACGCAACTCTGCACCGTGCTCCCTGGTTGATATGGAATTGGTTGATACTAGATACCGTAACTAAGTAGTACCAAATACCTGTTCCTGAAATTAGAATGAGGGCGAACGTGGAAAGATATCGGCACAGAGAAAGCTGGTTAAACCTGATTTCACTGTCATCCGGGTTAACAAGTTTCTGGATTAATAAATCCTTGTCATAGAGAAATGACCTTTGACACTATGTAAGACTGCTGCAGCATCCACTTAGAACTTCCAGACTGTCGGGTAAGACTCCAAGGTGAGTGAGTGAGTATGGTTTTATGCCGCTTATAGCAATATTCCAGTAATATCACCGCAGAGGACACCAGAGATGGGCTTCACACATTATACTCATGTCGGGAATCGAACCCGGGTCTTCAGCGTGACGAGTGAACACTTTAACCACTAGGCTACCCGACCGCGACTGCAAGGTATTACCTGCATACTGCAATACTCTTTTCAAATGATAACATTGCAAATTTTTTCTGTTCCTATGTATAGGGTAAAAATTAACTGACAATTGTATCATTTAACCAAAAATCAACACAGAAATCATTCACAAATGATGTTTTGTTTTGAAAATTAATTAAAAATTCAAAAAATTGGAAATGATATTATTTTATTAGGTTGTCTCCCTTTTCTCCATGACTACAAAATGGCAGCGACTGACCATGCTGAGTAATATTAGTAACATTATTCCACTCTCATTAAATCGCAATACTTATCACACTACATATACCTGTATCACACATCTTTTGCCAATGCACAACCCTAGTGAAATGAGTCCAGAAACAAGTCCCAATGTATCATATATTACACGGAGGTACATTTTGAACCTGGTTCACCAAACCAAATAGATGGTAATAAAACAAAGCACGTCCAAATACTTTTCAGCTGGGTTTTGTTTTCTTTGTTTGTATTTAACGCCGCACTCAGCAATATTCCAGCTATATGACGGCGGTCTGTAAATAATCGAGTCTTGACCTTACAGCTAGGATTTACACAACCCAGTATTATGTAAATAACATAAAACACACGAAGACAAGGAACAGAGGAGATGAACTGATATTGTACATATAATTATCATAAATGACTACTGACAACAAATGAAATGCCTACTGACAACGACTGAGAAAGAAGGACTTTCTATTACTATTATCTTCTGCAGCAGTGCGGTATCCAAATCAGCTGTTTCAATCACAGGTGGTTATTATCATTTGATACCTCTGATTGACCAATCAGAATCGAGTAATTTCCAACAAATTTGTGTTAGAATGCAGCTCAAAACGACTTCACCAATATATCAGCACTATCACTGCAGGGGTGTCCAAGAATGAGTTTCACACAATCTAACCATGTGTAAAATCAAACCCATGGTATTCATGACAAGCAAACCCTTAACAACAAGGCTACCAACAGTTTCATGTGAAACAACTGTTACAACATTTATCATTATTCACTTTCAAATGAAGCACTTGTCACAGTTAATCTTTAATGCAAATATGTACAATGTTCAGATTAACTGCAGAACTTAACATAAACCTGAGCACATTTTCGGATACGATGAAAGATTTTATTTCTTCTTGAAGAAGGACATCAGAGACATTTGGTTTTTAGGTCCCTTGGCAGGAGATTTCTTCTGTGGAGAGGCCTTCTTTGTCGGCTGAAAAATAGATATACATGAGTGAGTGAGTGAGTGGGTGGGTGGGTGGGTGGGTGAGTGAGTGAGTGAGTGAGTGAGTGAGTGAGTGAGTGAGTGAGTGGGTGGGTGGGTGGGTGGGTGGGTGGGTGAGTGAGTGAGTGAGTGAGTGGGTGGGTGGGTGGGTGGGTGGGTGGGTGGGTGAGTGAGTGAGTGAGTGAGTGAGTGAGTGAGTGAGTGAGTGAGTGAGTGAGAGGTTTTACGCCGCTTTTAGCAATATTCCAGCAATATCACGGCAGGGGGCTGGGGTTCACACATTGTACCCATGTCGGGAATCGAACCCGGGTCTTCGGCGTGACGAGCGAACGCTTTAACCACTAGGCTACCCGACCGCCCCAGAAATACATGAAAAAGTACACCAGTGACGATGCTGGTTCGGTGAGTGAGTGGGTTTAATGCTGATGTGAAGGGTGTTTCAATAACGGCTTGACGGGGGAGGAAAGCGTGAAGTGATGCAGGTCTCAGATGTTTATTGCTTTTGTTAAACCCATGAGCACAGCGTGGTGCTGACAAATCAAGAAATATTATCAGGGCGAATCTTGGATTCGAACCTATAATTTAAATTTGTGGACAATATGCCAAAACAAGGACCACAGGGCCCGAGCTCTGAGGTGGTGAGACCGCCGATGGGGTCAGGTCGGAGGTTCCATGTTTTAGCATACTGATCTTGTCAAGAGTAATCATTCGTTTTGTTAAACCAAAATTCACTTTTTGAAGCCTTTAAACCGTCTGCCGTCTCATTACAGCAACAATGCTGTGAACCGTGAAATATTAGTACCAGACGCCATCTTGTTTTCTGGCAGAAAAGTCAATTTCATCACGTGACAGGTCAATACTGATCATATGACGAGTCAATATTCAAGGTCAGTGTCAGTCACATGATTCGGGGTCTACACTGGAATGTATTGTTCCATCACATGGTACACATTAACCAATGGATTTGCAAGATTCTTATTATAGAGATATAACAAAAAACTTAAGCCACCAATGTGTCAGATTTCATTACTAACATACAGAAAATATTGATCCTACTCATATGCTTGTCATATTTGGATGACACTCCCCATGCCCTAGTATAATATTTTCATGACCCTCACTAAAAAGACAAAATGCAAAATCAATTTATATTATAAACTCTCCCTTTTTTTCATGACCCTCCCCAAACGTGTATTTTTTATGACCCTCCCCTAGAGTCTGTCATAATATTATTGAGTGACCCTCCCCTGATTCCCCCTGACCTACCATTCTCCATAATTAATACCGCAAGTCGACCGCAACCGTGGTCTGGTGGTAGAGTGTCCAGCGGGTTCAACCCCGGCCGCGTCATACCAAAAGACGTTAAAAGATGGTACTTGTTGTTACCCTGTCTGGCGCTCGGCATTAAGGGGCTAAAACAAGGACTGGTCGGCTCGGAGTCAGTATACTGTGTCTAAGTGTGGTATTCACGTTAAACTGCGGCATGGTATCTCAGTGAGCTAGCACTATAAATCAGCATCAGTCCAGACTAGTACAAGAGCCCACACACACACACACACACACACACACACACACACACACACACACACACACACACACACACACACACACACACACACACACACACACACACACACACACACACACACACGTCGCTATAAAAGTGCAATAATATTGGACGCGACGTTAAACCCAATTTCACCTCACCTAATACTCAGTCCCTAAGATAGTTGCCTGTAATGAGCTTGATCTTTAGTGAGACCCCCCCTCGTTCTCGGACCCCAAAACTCCCATTATACACATCGATATGCAGTTATCCTGGATCAGACAAGCCAGTACACCAACCTGTGTCTTGGACTGTTTGGCCGGTGATGGTACTTGCTTCTTGACATCCTCCTCTCGCTCGGACACGTCCGTCGAGTCGCTCTCCCACACCTTCTCTGTGACTGCAAGGGTCATGATAATATTCATCAACACAAACAAGCATCAGTGAGCGAGTTTTACTTAGCGAGCTTTTAGCAATGTTTAAGGTATGTGGCGCCAGGAATGGGCTCCACACTGTACCCATGTAGGGTATCAAACCCATAAGAAAAAGCAAAAACTTTAACAATGGTAAGCTACTTCATTAAACAGGAGTATATTTCACAGTCATCCTTTTATCAAATATCAAAATACAACAGAACATGGTAAGTCATCACAATAAATTATTTTACCATATAATGGACAGTTATACCAGATAAACTTACAATCCAATACATATGCAAATGAGGTCATCAAGCAAGAACTACTTTTCATAAGTCTGTACATCCATGCTCAAAAACTTTCGCAAACAGTTCCCAAAAGGTTAAGATAGTTTTCTAGATGTGTTTGTTTGTGTGTTGTTTAACACCGCACTCAGCAATATTCCAGCTCTATGACGGCTGTCTGTAAATAATCATGTCTGGACCAAGCAATCAAGTGACTGACATTGTGAGCATCGATTCACGCAATTGGGATACGATGACATACATCAACCAAGTCAGCTAGTCTGACCACCCGATCCCATAAGTCACCTCTCACGACAAGCATAGTCGCCTTTTACGCCAAGCATGGGTTGCTGAAGACCTGTTCTACCCCAGATCTTCACAGGTCTTTCTGGATGTGTGAAGACTTATAGAAACTAACATGACAGCACCTGGCGCTATATCATTAACAGTGCACTCCATTCATGTTACCATGGTTACTGTAGTTCTACATGAAAGGCTCGCATAATACAAATTTTATTGCTAATATATCATATTTTCATTTCATTATTGTCAAATCCAATTTGTCTATTACTAACTCAGCTGTCAAGAAAAACATTTTGGAAAAATTCCTGCCTGACACATTTACATGAAATAAAACTTTCTACTGTGATAAAAAACAATGCAACCTCCGACAGGTTCAACATATTTACCCATAAATCCATCTGCGTCCATGGATGTCTTGGGTACGAGTTTCCGCGTCCGCTTTCTCCGTTTCTCGCCTCCATTTGTCTGACTGACAATAACGGGTTCGTCATCAGAATCAGGTTTCGTGGTTTTCTTCGGGCTTGGTGACTCGGGTTCTGGGCTGGACTCACGGACAGGACTTGGGACAGGACTCTCTTCCAAAACCTCCATCTCTGTTCACAAAGTAGGAAGTCACAAATAACACACAACCAACACAGCAAACATTGTCGTCATCCAATCCTAAACATAGTCTCCACATAGGGGTATACTGTCTACATCCACACGGCTTTTTAAAAAAATCATTTAAATTTTTCCCACTTACCGTCTTCGCTACTGCTGCTGTCAAACAGGTCATTGCGGATTCGCCTCCTTCTCTTCGTGTCGGGTTTGTCTTCATCTACACAATATAACAAACACCAGTGCATTAGACAATACATAATAGCCTCCATGATCACAAGCAATCAACAAGGACAACGATTATACATTAAAAACCCATGAATCCATTGAAATTTTCTGCACCGACAAATTCCGGTACATAACGGTACATTAAATTAGGGTTGGGATGAGTCCAAATTTACTACACAGAGACCCAACCCCCTATTACCTGTCCCTACCTGGGTACAAGATCCCTGACAAAAAGTTTTAGATACACAAATAACACTCATGTTCGTACACTGAAGCTGACTGAAACCTTTTTCTTCATTCTAACATAAAAGTGAGAAGGAATGTGGGCAGTCAGAAAGAACATGAGTGACTGGCAATGCAATCATGGCGTTATAGTGACATTTTGTCATTAAACAATAACATATCACGTGACTAACCATGGGTCTGGGTAGTGTTGTTGTACCCTAGTCCTACTCGGTACCCTAGTCCTCCTGCTCGGTACCCTAGTCCTCCTGCTCGGTACCCTAGTCCTCCTACTCGGTACCCTAGTCCTCCAACTCGGTACCCTAGTCCTCCTACTCGGTACCCTAGTCCTCCAACTCGGTACCCATCCGACCTGCGTACCCGAGTTACATACACCCACTTGTGATGCAGGGTTTCCAGGTTAACAGAGTCTGGACTACCCAGGTTTCACATTGTCTTCAAGTTTTGTATTTAATGTGTTCAATGAAAGTATCAGCTGTTAACTTTCAATTAGCATCCGATAAACTAACTCGCCTCTTTAACCAGCCATGGTTTCTGGGGGTCAGTGCTAACCCACAGATCTCCGGCTGACCCTATGACCTACCTGAATCTGAGACCCTTGTAGATTTCTTTCCCTTGCTAGGACGGCTTCTGAAAGACCAAAATATCAAATAAGAAAGTGGGCAGATATTTTCAATTAGCTTTTAAGCTAATATTGTTATCACTAGAACGGCCTTTTACCAAACTCTCAACCCAAACATCAAATTTAATGCCAAGCTTCTCATTGGATGCATGGACTATAACTTTGCACTCCGCAATATTTCAAATATATGATGGCGAATCAAATCTGGACCAGACAATCCAGTGATTGATATTGTGAGCAGCATCCACAACGTCGGGGTACAGTGACACACAATCAACCTGACCACCAGATCCATTCAACACTGAAAAATTGAGAATCAACCCACTTCTTCACATCAGTCTTCTTCTTTTCCTTCGGAGGCTCAGGCTTGGGTTTATTACTCTTCACTGGTTCACTCTTCACTGGTTCACTATTCACTGGTTTACTGTCATCTGGCTTTGTCTCCACAGGGTCACAGAGCACTGGCTTACTCTCAACAGGTTTGCTTGGCTTTGCTGAAAAATGAAATCGATTGTCTTCATGTCAGGACAATGTAGCAAAATTATTCCATACAAAATTATTGATGAAGCCTGAAAAATATTTTATGAAAAATTAGTGTCCTGGCACTGTAGCTCAGATGGATACGTAATTACAGCCACTTAAAAACAATTGGTGACTGCATTCTTATTGAAGTGATGTTAGTTTGTGGCCATCTTGTATTAAAACTAGCTACAATTACATCAAAACCTGACCCAAGGTCACTCTTGATGTGAGGTGAGGGGAAATGAGGTTTAAAGTCGCGTTCAAGATTGTTGCATTTTTTTGCATGATTTTATAGTTCTACCCCGCTGAGATACGATGCAGCAGTTTAAAATGAATTTTGTTTGTTTGTTGTTTAACGACACACTCAGCAATATTCCAGCTATATGATGGCGGTTTGTAAATAATCGAGTCTGGATCAGACAATCCAGCAATTGACATCATGAGCATCGATCCACGCAATTGGGATCAATGTCATGTACCGACCAAGTCAACGAGCTTGACCATCTAATCCCGCTAGTCGCCTTTTACGACAAGCATAGTCGCTTTTTACGGCAAGTATGGGTTGCTGAAGACCTATTGTACCCCAGAATCTTCACAGGTCTTAAAATGAATACAGACACAGTGTAATGACACTGCGCCGACAGTCCTTGTTTTAACCCCTTTATGAAAGCGCCAGGCAGGGTAACAATAAGTAACATCTTTTGACATCTTTTGGTATGACATGGCTGGGGATCCATCCCCAGATTTTCCTCTCTCCAGGCAGATTCTTTACCACTGAGGGTCTATGTTGGATTGCTTTGAACTGATGAGGTGAGCTACAGTCAATCAGGTGAGCTACAGTCAATCAGGTGAGCTACAGACAATCAAGTGAGCTACAGTCAATCAGGTGAGCTACAGTCAATCAGGTGAGCTACAGTCAATCAGGTGAGCTACAGTCAATCAGGTGAGCTACAGAAAATCAGGTGAGCTACAGAAAATCAGGTGAGCTACAGTCAATCAGGTGAGCTACAGTCAATCAGGGGAGCTACAGAAAATCAGGGGAGCTACAGAAAATCAGGTGAGCTACAGAAAATCAGGTGAGCTACAGTCAATCAGGTGAGCTACAGTCAATCAGGGGAGCAACAGTCAATCAGGTGAGCTACAGAAAACCAGGTGAGCTACAGTCAATCAGGTGAGCTACAGTCAATCAGGGGAGCTACAGAAAATCAGGTGAGCTACAGTCAATCAGGTGAGCTACAGTCAATCAGGTGAGCTACAGAAAATCAGGTGAGCTACAGAAAATCAGGTGAGCTACAGTCAATCAGGTGAGCTACAGTCAATCAGGGGAGCTACAGAAAATCAGGTGAGCTACAGAAAATCAGGTGAGCTACAGTCAATCAGGTGAGCTACAGTCAATCAGGTGAGCTACAGTCAATCAGATGAGTCAATCAGCAATACTTCCACACCAATCAGTCATGGTTCACACACATCCTTGAGGTTTAAATACAAACTATTTTCAAGGACTTTCTTATTCATCCAAAAATAGACCAATAACTACCCATGTGGGCAATAGAGCCAAGTGTTTTGGTCGGAAGAGCGAACAATGAAAGTCCAGTGGGAAGGTTGTAGGTTTCCATGACAGCACTGAGACGATATCCGTGTGACGTACCTGTCTGATTGGAGAAGAAAGACATCACACCTCCAGCCTTGCTGCCTTTGCCGCCCTTTCCACCTTTAGCTGGAACCTGACGCAGGAGAACATGGTCACGAAACAGAATGGTTTTGTTTCCTTGTGTGCTACGGGGCACTTAGTAACATGATCAGTCTTTTCACCAGAATATTTTGATCCCTCTTCAAAATCATAATCACATATTCCCTTAAGCCAAATTAAAAGCAGGTTAGATTTGGATAGCTTGTACCCTTCAGAGGTTAAAATATATCATAGCCTGGCACTGTGGCAAGTGAATTTTCAGTTTGATTAGATAATGTGTATCAAGTCTGAATGAAATGTGAATTTTGCGATACAGTGTGTCACTCGTGAGAGATTGTTTTCCAATACTAATGAATATATATGTGTGGACATTCCATCATACTGAACAGGCCAATCTCAACAGCAGGGGTAGACGCCATTGTTCATATCCAACTAGTCCTCAGCTCAGTTCGGACTAGTGAGTTACGTAAAATAATTAGATTTTGGGATGAAACAAATAGTCCCACTAGATTTTCACCTGTCTCGGTCTAACGGGCTAGTGGCTGTGTCTATCACTTAATAGTATTCTGATAATCACGACACATGGCCAGAAATGTCTGAAAGAGTTCCACCCACAAGCAGCCATGAAAGACAGGGCCACCAGTTCAGCTACCCGTCATTTCTCAATATTTTTCACTTTATTTTTATGAAAAGTTTCAGGCAACTGAACATTCAATCAGGGTAAGTGGTCTTATCTCAATCACTTGTTCTGTCAGGACGATGTTCAAATAAAGACTGAACCCCTGCCCTTCCATAGATTTGGAGGCAGTGTCTGAAACTAGGCGGAGTAAACTGAGATCCTTATGGGCAAGCACATTTAACGCCTTAAGGCCCAAATATGTTAGCTGAAGCAGGGACACATACTCTTGCAATATAAACTACAAAACACAACTCTCAACCAGAAGCTTGTACTGCTACAATCTCATTAAAATAAGATCTTAGTTCTCGCTATCGCTAAACAAAGATCAGAGGACATCCCATTACAGGTCACGTCAGAACGACCTTTCATCCAACCAATCAGAGCGTCGCTTACCAGATCATGAAAGTGACAGACGGAATGTGTTTCTTGATCATGCAACCTCGAAATATTTAACAGAGGGTATTCCAAACGACAGTTTTTATGATTTTATCCATACAATCTAGGCCATCTGTAAGCCATTCCAGAATGTTCTTTTTATCGGTTTTAAAAGTTTTAACCAAAAATATGTTAAAATCTGTTTCAAACCTTAGTGGCCAGTTTGAAACTAGTGTCGTAAAGCTCGAGAAAGCTGCCTTCTGATTGGCTAATGTCGATTTCTTGTCAGTCATTTCATTGATCGGTCAAAGTTCGCTAGAGGTCGTTATGACGCGACCCGTAATGGGATGTCCTCAGATCTTTGTTTAGCGGTAGCGAAAACTAAAGTCTGGTTTTAATGAGATTAGTACTGCTATCACACCGAGTTCCCAGAAGCCTACATTTATCAGAAATTATCAGCTTGTGACTAAAGTCATACACCATTTGAAAGGTCTAATCTTAATGTGTATAATGACGAAAGTTATGTTCATCACATTACTTATATAATGCTTAATAAATAATTACTAAAATAAACTGCAGGCCGTAGAGACCTGCTAAAAATTACAACTATCAGCCCGAGAACAAATCTGTCGGCCTCAGGCCTACGGGCCGATGGCTATTTCAAACACTGTTGGTAGGGATTCATGAAGGTCAAGGTCAGCTTACAGGGACTTTCTCTGCAGCCTCCTTCTTCTTCCCTCCTGCGGAGAACATACTAGCAATGCTGCCCTTGCGTTCGGCCTTGACAGCTGCACTGCCATTGGCTGCTGGTTTAGCTGCCGTTGATAAACTGCCCTGGAATAGACAAAATTATATGTCATAGATCCATGGTAAGGTAAAGAGAAATGGGGTTTAATGTTGTGGTCAAGATTGTTGAACTTATATAGTATGTGTTTGCACGTCATGGTCCAGTGATTGTAGCGCCACCCTAGGCGCCGCTCGGCACAGGTCTGTGTCTTTATGCTCATTAGGGTTTTGTGAGTTAGTTAGTTTAATCTCATACTTTTATTAAGTGTTGGTTTGATATATGTTTTCTCCTATATGTATGCAAGCTTATTCATGTCTTGAAAGTGTTTTAGTAACTTTGATTTTCACGCAGCGGCGGGATTATCTAGTACTACGTAAATATTTCTCATGTATTTATAGTTATTTATTTGCTACCTCACTAATTGTACATATCTGGTTGTAAATGTTTAATAGTACGGTTTTAATAAGTCGGCTTAATTGGTTGTCTATGCATCTTGTTGATTGTCTTGTCAGAGTATTGTTTCATCTATCTGTTGTAATGGCTGTCATATGGTCAGTCAGCTAAATCAGCATGTATATTGGTTCATGCTTTATTAATCAGTGTCAGTGTCATTTGGGGTCTTGATCCTTCAGATTGCCTCAGTTACTCTTAGCTGATAGTAATAAAACTGTGAACTTTTACCAAATTTTTATTTTATTGCTTTATTCTTGTTTAACGACACCCTGGACTCGGTTCAACTCTAAGACAGTGTGGCTGCTTGTATTAGTCCAGACTCATGTCACAAATGTTATATTTGGGATAACACTTTCTGAGTAATGCTACCATCACACCAAAGTAGTTCTATCCCGTTCTACCCCGTTCTAAACAAAATACTAAAACGGGCTGTGATCACGGTAGAACGCGTAGTTTGGCGTAAAATACGATGCTAGTTCGTTCATAAGCAGTCCTCATTTCGTCTATCTCATTCTTATCTCGTTCTTAGCCAGTCTGCAGTCGGTTTGTATCCAGTTCAGATCGTGTAAAAGTGCCCGTTCACCTCAACTCGACAATGTTTCGAAGCAGTTCGAGCACGTCCGTAGCCGTTCTCAACCCGTTCTTAACCAGTTCAACCTCGTTCACAATACGTCCAAGCCAGTTCTAACTAATTCTTAACCCGACCAACTCGTTCACATTACGTCCTCATCTCGTCCCAAGTGCGTGCATATTCGTGTCCTTGCCCGTCCTGGCCCGACTCCTATGGATACCGAGCGCGTAGCCAGTCTTCATTCAAGTTCAGGGCTCCGAGCTGTACACATCATGCCTCCAAAGAGAAGTCGACCCGGTCGTTGTGCACACGTACTGAAATTAATGTCGGACTGCACCAAGTAGTAACACGTCCCCAGTAGGTTCGAAGTACGGCAATTCCGTTCAAAGTATGGCAATTCCGTTCGTAATACGTCTTTCTCGTTTTAAGTATGTTGTCAATCCGACTAATTGCAGAACGGGATGGACGGGATAAAATTTTGAGCAGACTCAAAGTTCTGGGGCACCCTGCCCGTCTGAGCCCATCCATAAAGTTCGTAAAGAGACTGTCAATAGTTGCTACTACGTCCACTACGTTCATACACAGTTGGAGCCTGTTCGACAACATTGGTGTGAAGGGCGTATAAAGTACAGATGTCAGAGGGGTACACAAAGTATGTGATCTAGACTACCAGTTGTCAGACTTTCATTTTGTGGAAGCCTCGGTGGCTGAGTGGGTTAGATCGCTGACTTTGTGTACTGGCGATTAGGTGCCTCACTCTTGCAGTGTGGGTTCAAATCCCAGACGGGACTCAACCCAAAGAAGTACAAGAATCTGTACTTTACTAAGAAAGTGTTATACATTTTGTTACATTTGACCACTTTCTAAATGGCATTGTGTGTTCACAAACTAATGTCGGTTTGCTAGCCCACAAAGATACCATGCAGCAGTTTAACAAGGATACCCCACTCAGACACAGTATACTGACTCCGAGCTGACCAGTCCTTATTTTAGCCCCTTAATGCCAGAACCCTCACGGAAGTATTGGTCCATCCGAAAGTTGCTGAACTCAGTTAATTCATTGTTTACTAACAATAGAGAATCTCTGATTCAATGCTCTTCAACTCACATTTGTCTTAGGCGGGTCTGACGATGGCTGCGACTGTTGGACGCCAAGTTTGGCCAGCTCCTCTTTGGACCTGGCCTTGGCTCGGGGGTAGCTTATAGCACTATAGCTGAAACAGTAGCAGTGGAATGTGGGGAAAGTGCACATACAGTCAAGTCTTGTTAATCCGATAACCGTTAATCATCTTTATCCGACACTAATGATGGGAACATATTAAATCAGTGCTATTTAGACCCGTTAATCCGACAGTCTCACAATCCGACTCCGACACACCTAATTTGCAATGAATTACCGAAATCACTCATTACTGAGTCTTGTTAATCTGACATAGTCATCATTGATCATAATTCAACATCTGTAGTTAGTACATTTTCCCCTCTCTAAGTCTTTAGGAGACAAAGGTTTGGTTTGGTTTGTTTGTTGTTTTTACGCCGAACTCAGCAATATTCCAGCTATATGACGGCGGTCTGTAAATAATCGAGTCTGGACCAGACAATCCAGTGATTAATATCATGAGCATCGATCCACGCAGTTGGGATCGATGACATGGATCGACCAAGTCAGCGAGCCTGACCACCTGATCCCGTTAGTCGCCTTTTACGACAAGCATAGTCGCCTTTTACGGCAAGCATGGGTTGCTGAAGACCTATTCTACCCCGGATCTTCACGGGAAATTAAAAGACAAAGGTGTTTAGATAGTGACTTACCTGCTGCATGAGTGTAGCTTCTCCTTCGTGTTGTCATAGTCGGCCATGAACAGCGAATTGGAGTCCTGAAACATCCAACTAGTGAATCAGAAATTTATCTCAGATTCCACACTAACATCGGCAGACAAATCAGGAACAAGGTTCTGTAGCTCACCTGAAACATTAAGTGAGTGAGTGAGTTTGGTTTTGCGCCGCTTTTAGCAATATTCCAGCAATATCACGGCAGGGGACACCAGAAATAGGCTTCACACATCATACCCATGTCGGGAATCGAACCCGGGTCTTCAGCGTGACGAGCGAACGCTTTAACCACTAGGCTACCCGACCGCCCCCCTGACATATTAAGAATCAAAAGGGCAGTCATCAATATCCCGCACCATCCTTACAAGTAATTGTCAATAAATGATCTTACATTTCTGTGAAAACGAGTGGCACAAGTCCTAACTGGCCCAATAAACTGGCAAAGTTTCATGGAGAAATAATTAAAAGTTTGGCACAAACCCTACCTTTGAAGTGAGTGAGTATGACTTCATGTTGGTGTTAGCAATATTCCAGCAACATCACGACAGAGGACACTAGAAGTGAGCTAGCTTCACACGATGTGCCTATGGTTGGAATAAAACCCAGGACATGGGTGTGCAGAGCAAGCACTTTAACCAGAAGGCTAGCCCATCCCCAACAAGACTTTGGAAAGGTGTATAAGATTTGTAAATTATTAATTACCTTGCCACTCCTCATGATAATACAGAAGGTTAAATTAACTGATGAAGAGTAAAACCTGACCTTCAACTTGACCTTCTGGACACTGTAGATGTGGCAGCTGGTCACCGTTGTCAGCGTCGACTTGAAAGACCCGAGCTCCTCCTCCGAAACAATGCAACACTTGTGACCCTGAGAAAGAAACAGTTTCTCTAAGGAGGCAGTCTTTTCATGGACACAACATAGGTATTAACCAGTTATAGATCAACTTTCAATTTATACATTCCTAACCATGCTAACAAGGCAAGATCAGTTCCAATATATGGGGTAAGTGAATCAGTGGGATTTTACGTCGCTTTCAGCAATATTTCAGCAATAATATGGCATAGGACACCAGAAACTGCATCACACATTTTACCCATCTGGGAGCCAATGCTTTACATACTAGGCGACCACACCGCTCTCTTCAGCAAACCTAGTATGTGGACATGGTTGTGTATAAACCAAGAAATTGAAAACAGCTACCATACAATGATACAAAACAACAGACATACCATTCAAGACCACAATGCCATGACAGATTAACTACAGTAAATTACAGTATAAACGAACTCAAAGGGACCACTAATTTAAGTTCGTTAAAACTTAGTTCATTATAAGCATATGTACAGTATATATACAACAAAATGACGAACAATTTTTTTTGTTATATCCATCAGTTAATTGTAAGCGTACTGTATAGTGATATGAAAGAATGAAGAGGTCCTTAACTTCTTTTAAGCAGTATATAATTCATTAGGGTGAACTAAAAGACGGAGAGAGTGAATGTTGTTTTACGCCACAGTTGGCATATTCCAGCAGTGTCGAGTAAAACATCACCCGTAATTACTTAATTCTGGACAACACAAAGCCCTAACTGACATCAAGACCAGCGATCCACACAGTTGCCTGGGTTATAATGATATGCTGTAAGCCAGGTCACACACATCCATGATTGTGAATAATACTCTATCAGCTTGATTTAAAACCAAAAGAAGTGAGAAAAAGGAATTTTAAATTTTCTAACCATGAAACCATTCTTGGTTTTCGGTATTCCTGCAACAAAATATGTCACTGATAGCTTGTCATTGTCCCTCTTGTTTCTCTCCTGCTGCACGAAGGCATAGAGCATTCTGAAAGGAAGACAATCATCTGATGATGTAACATGGCACTGGTTTTGTACTTGTGAGTTCACAAACTGTCGTCATGGTAACTGCATGTTCAGTTGGGAGGGGAGGTTCCAACCTTTATTTCAACATTACATAGAGCATATATATAATAATAATGACAGTGTATAAAATTCCCCAAAATTTTAGTCCAACAACCGGACTGGCAACATTGCAAAGTTACCAGGCCAGATAAAATGTTGTCAGTCCTCATTTTCTAGACTAGTGAGTGAGTGAGTGAGTATGGTTTTACGCCGCTTTAAGCAATATTCCAGCAATATCACGGCAGGGGACACCAGAAATGGGTTTCACACATTGTACCCATGTCGGGAATCGAACCCGGGTCTTTGGCGTGACGAGCGAACGCTTTAACCACTAGGCTACCCGACTGCCCCTTTTTCTACACAAACGAACAAAAGTAACAAAAGGGTAAACATAAGAATAGTACCGTTCAATATTAGTTCTCAAGAAATAACAATACCATGGTGGATTGTCAACTTGGTAACTTTAACCCCCGACCACCAGTAAGTGCAGTCTCGTACTGTCGGGCAGGCGGGTATTTTAAACATTGATAGTGATAATAACTATGGCGGCAACGAATACACTATGCGGCGAATATGATACGTACCACAAGTATAGGGTAATGAATATGAATATTTATTCACGAATACAGAAACAAGTCAGCAGTCGATGTACTCTTTATAATAATATTATTAATATTCAGTGACACAAAATTAACTATTGGACATGGTTTGACCATCCTGACAGAGTTAATGATTATTATATTACAGTATTCAACGTAATAAGCGCCCAGGGTGCTCTCAAAATTAGAAATAGGGGGCTCTTTTTAGAATATAATTTTGGTGAAAAAAAAACACACTTGAAATATCGTAAACATTGTGGTTTATGCCGACAGCCTGGAATGATACAAAAGAAAAGTCTGTGCGTATTATGAACGACAAATATATTTTTCCAGAATTTAATTGCCCATGATTAAGGGTGCACATAACACACGAGTGCGTATTACTAAAATAAATAAGTCTTGTGTACATTGATCAATCTGAAGGAGTGCTAATTGGGATTGTTCACTAGCCAATATATTAGCAAATATCGCCGTGGGCGCTTATTAGAGCAGGGCGCTTATTACGTCGAATACGGTATACATTTATATACCAAATACACGAGTGAATTGTTACAGCCCTAATAATAACCAATATTTATCATATACCAGAGGAACAAGCTGTTTACCACTTCGGTGAAACCCACGAGCACGGGTATAGTGCTGACAAACCTAGAAACATAATCGGGGCGAATCAGGATTCGAACCCACAATCATAGGTTTCTGGCGCGAACAAGGGACGCAACTCTGCACAGCGAAGCGCGGCACCTTAGACGACTGGGCCACCCATGCCTCCTCTTTCTTTCATATGGCATCCATTTGTCTGTATTTTGACCTTGATTAGTAACATTTAATACCTTATCCGTAACACTGGACTATTATTGTGTATTGTAAAACTGGATTTTTTACAGAATGGCAGCCATACATATTTACTGTGATGAATTAGTAGATCATTTGTAACTAATCACACTAAATTTTAGACAAATGTTTTGAGGTAAAGGAAACTAGTTCACTCACTGTTTTGCTTGGTTGACATGAACCTTCAGGTTGGTGCTCAACCACTTGAACGTCACCTGCAACATGTACAGCAGTGGGCATTCAGGTAGGGTATTCAGGTAGGGCATTCAGGTAGGGCATTCAGGTAGGGCATTCAGGTAGGGTATTCAGGTAGGGCATTCAGGTAGGGTATTCAGGTAGGGCATTCAGGTAGGGTATTCAGGTAGGGTATTCAGGTAGGGCATTCAGGTAGGGTATTCAGGTAGGGCATTCAGGTAGGGTGTTCAGGTAGGGCATTCAGGTAGGGTATTCAGGTAGGGCATTCAGGTAGGGTATTCAGGTAGGGCATTCAGGTAGGGCATTCAGGTAGGGTATTCAGGTAGGGCATTCGGGTAGGGTATTCAGGTAGGGTATTCAGGTAGGGCATTCGGGTAGGGTATTCAGGTAGGGCATTCAGGTAGGGTATTCAGGTAGGGCATTCGGGTAGGGTATTCAGGTAGGGCATTCAGGTAGGGCATTCAGGTAGGGTATTCAGGTAGGGCATTCAGGTAGGGTATTCAGGTAGGGCACTCGGGTAGGGTATTCAGGTAGGGCATTCGGGTAGGGTATTCAGGTAGGGCATTCGGGTAGGGTATTCAGGTAGGGCATTCAGGTAGGGTATTCAGGTAGGGCACTCGGGTAGGGTATTCAGGTAGGGCATTCGGGTAGGGTATTCAGGTAGGGCATTCGGGTAGGGTATTCAGGTAGGGCATTCAGGTAGGGTATTCAGGTAGGGCATTCAGGTAGGGTATTCAGGTAGGGCATTCGGGTAGGGTATTCAGGTAGGGCATTCAGGTAGGGTATTCAGGTAGGGCATTCAGGTAGGGCATTCAGGTAGGGCACTCGGGTAGGACATTCGGTTCAGTGATTGAAATCATGAGCATCGATCAATGCAGTGTGATACGATGACATGCATCAACCAAGTCAGCAAGCCTGACCACCTGATCCCATTAGTCGCCTCTTATGACAAGCATGGGTTGCTGAAGACCAATTCTAACCCAGATTTTCACGGGTTCGCCTCATATGACAAGTATAGGTGGACTTATTCTAACCTGGAATGCCCACCCAGGGATAAATGTATTCAATAACTCATGTATCATGAGTACTGGTTGTGCTGGATGCCAAACCTTTGAGGTCATAAAACCAGAAAATCATAAACTGAACATTATTATAGTCAAGTATGCAAGATATAATTTATTTAGTTCTTTGTTTAACGCCGCACTCAGCAATATTCCAGCTATATGACGGCAGTCTGTAAATAATCAAGTCTGGACCAGAAAATCCAGTGATTGACATCATGAGCATCGATCCACTCAATTGGGATACAATGACATGCATCAACCAAGTCAACGAGCCTGACCACCTAATCCCGTAGGTCGCCTTCTTACGACAAGCACCGTCGCCTTTTACGACAGGAATGGTTTGCTGAAGACCTATTCTACCACGGATCTTCACGATATAAAGCTGTTATTGCCATACCCCAACATCTGTTCCTCATTCAATAGCCAGGTTTTCTAAATGTCTCTACTGGGGGTACAGGAAAACATAACCCGTGGTATTTTCGAGGGGGAAGCCCTCTTGTCTCCAAAACCGTTTTTCATTTTTAATATTGAAAACTTTGTGAAAGTTCACTTCCGATGAAATAAATCACTGTTGTATCCGTCGTATGACAAGTCTTAAGCAGGTTCAAATGTTTTTTCAGGAATGTTACAGTATGCATAGCATTTAAGATGGCTGACCCCAGCAAGCACATGTGTCATATCACACGTCAAGTTCCATGCATGAGACGTCCCGTGCACATGAAGAGTTACCCAACAGAGTTACCTCCCCTATACCACTACATGCCTGCATAGCAAACATACCACAAGCACTTGTAATTGAAAGAAGGTATCAATGTAGATCCTAAAAATATTTTATGACTTATAGCCTATCGGAGGTTTAGAATTGCCCAGAAATGTCCCACAGCACAAATCCACTATTCTCATGGGACATACAATACATAGCCCCCAGAAGTGACATAGAGAAAAAATTGTCTTTGAAAGGCATTTAGAAGTGATTCACATAAGGAAGAGAATATCTGGATGTCAACTTCTTGATGAGGAACAAAACATTTCGGAGCATATGCTTACTCCTTCACCAAACTGATTGAACGAGGAACGGATGAGGAAATAATTAGGTAACTACATCTCATAAGATATGCTGCGGCATATCACAATCCCAGTTGTCAAACACGAAACAGTACTAGTTATATTTTAATATGTGTGCAGGCTAAAACGGCACCTCAGCAGAACGGCACCGATCTGGTGAAAACAGCCGTGCTTTTGTAATAACGGCCACTGATCATTGACCGAAAACGGCATCAGTATATATATATGTTTTACTTATTCATATTGCTTGGTTTATTCACCACCATCATTGTCACCACGTGTCACTATAAAAGTATTGACAATAATCATTGTCATCTTGTCACATTTTCTTTACACCACAGACCATGGACAGCAGAGCACTGTGTTAGCATGCAACCCTCGAGACATTGTAAAGAATTGTGATCTGACAGCACCCTGTCATGAATCTTAAAGAAATGCAGCTTGAGACTGAGTAATTTTAACCACTTTCACACTGACTGAGGTTCTGTTATTGCCAACTGCTGGCGTTTCCGCTTGGTGACGTCTTGCTGAGGTGCCTTTCAACATGTTCAATATGGATATAACATAATGACAGCCTGTAAATAAGCCACATTATAACTGCATGGATGATAGTTTGAGAACATGTGGGTACAATGCAACTCAATGTCAGCCATGTCTATTATTGGTTGACAAGCATCAAGAAAACTTGTGTTTTAGCGACTTTCTTCCCTTCCTTGTTATGAAATTTCCCTTCCTTGTTATGAAATAACCATTATCTCTGAAGATAAACAACAGCTATGGGTCGCGTTTTTCTTTATAAAACTAGAATAGGTGTTGCCACAATAAGAGTGAAACCGCAAGAAGCGTGCATACTACTAATGTCTCATCCCTATCTAGGCCTACAAGCATCAACACATATGACGTAATATTTTGATAAACATGATGATGTAACGTGTAATCAAAAAAAAACAAAAATTGATGTTTACAGCGATGAAGTCCGCTCCCCTATTACTATATCACATATCTGCATTCAACAATGACAGTGGAGAATAGTATTTATAAGCAGTAGTTTGGGAACACTCACAACTTTATTTTCATCGTTCACAAATTCATCCAAATTTTCCATATAATATTCGTCTACCGCCATGTTTTCTTCACTCGAAAGAGAAAGTAGAATCATTAGGTGAGAAGGCCCATGCTGTCAAAACATTCGATGTCATCCAAATAATTAATTTTCGCCACGAATTGTTTATGTCGAATTTCAGCAGCTGAATCTTCTTCTCGAAAATGGATTTCGCGGGAATATTCGCGAGGTTGACAAGCGTGAATATAGAAGAAGGACTTGTTACCTGAAACGAAATGACATGATCTAAATAAATAGAACGCGGGAATATATTGCTCCAAATAACACAGTATTGATAATGTGAAATCTTTTAGGGCACATAAACAAGCTGATATATTTATTTCAAGGTAATATCGAAACAAAACATTTTTTTTCAGGAAAGGTTTGTCTCGGATTAAAAAAACGTCGAACTTTGAATAAATCCCAAAACAACATGGCGACGAAGTGTCATTTAGGATTTCCTTGCAAACAGTAAAAAGACTATAATCAAACAAATATAGCCATGGCATGCGAAGATGCTGTCATTGCAACAAATGACGATGCAGCACAGTGTAAAAGATTTGCTGTCGAGAAGGGCTACTGGACAGATCCATACATATCACAGATTATTCCGAAAGGATTCAGTACTCACGCACCAGAAATCAACAGGGGATATTTTGCTCGAGTCCGATCTATCCAAATTTTGATGGAAAAATTCCTTAAAGTATGTTTTCTAAGAATTCTGGAAGAATGTATGTTGTGTATGATCCCATCTGTGGTGTAAGCAATGGTAGTTATTTCCACTAAACTTAAGTAAACTACGGTTATAACGAACTCCAAGAGACCACTAATTTTAGTTCGTTTAGCAACCGTAGTTCGATTAAGCATGTTAAGCATTTCGACTGTCAGACATCTTGGATCAAGTATTGACCATTTCATGTTACTTGATGAATAACAAAAGTGTGTAAGTGCACATGTACATCTTTTGTGGGTCACTCGAACACGCCAGAAACCTATGATTGTGGGTTTGAATCCCGGTTCGCCCTGATTATGTTTCTAGGTTTGTCAGCACCATACCTGTGCTCGTGGGTTTCACCAAAGTGGTAAATGTCTGAGACCTGCATCACGTCGGGCTTTCCTCTAACATTAAGCTGACACACCACGATATAACTGGAATACTGTTAAAAGCAGCGTTAAACCCAACTCACTCACTCTGTGTGTCACTCAGCTAGATATATCATGTATATACACCTAAAGGCATATAGCCTAATAACCCTTTTACTATTATCAATTGAGGATGTATGTTTAGGACAAGGCGTCAGGACTTAATCCAGTTAATCACAACTTAATGTTAATCACTTGCTTTCAATTGTTGATTGCCGCTTTGAACAGCCGCATGTGGCCTCAGATGTTCTGATAGGCTGATTGGTGACACATGAGGAGCTACGAGATTAACAGTTTATTATAAACATAAACATTGTTGTTATCATCTGTACATACAGAACCACAAAGCAAGTTTGCTATATCCATTATTTTGTTATAAGCATAATTGTTATATACATCATTTTTATGTGATAAAGTATACAGCAAATGTCCAGGACCATTGAAACAGTTCCATATATCTGTCACTTCATTACAAGCATGTAGTTCACTATATGGAAAGAAAATGGCTTGTTTAACCTCTATACATACCATAACATGAGCTTATTTTTACTTCTCACATCATCATATTCACAGATCTGGGGTAGAATAGGTCTTCAGCAACCCTTGCTAGCTGTAAAAGGCGAATATGCTTGTCGTAAGAGGCGACTAAGGGGATCGGATGGTCAGGCTCGCTGACTTGGATGATGCATGTCATCTTATCCCAATTGCGTGGATCGATGCTCATGATGTAAATCACTGGTTTGTCTGGTCCAGACTCTGTTATTTACAGACCGCCATCATATAGCTGGAATATTGCTGAGAGCAGCGTTAAACAACAAACAAACAAAAAGTCATATTCACATGTACTGCTCCAGTTCATTATTTCTATCACACATACACCATTGTACATTGGTCTCTGATACATAGGTACAATAGATACAAATTGCTGAAGAGACGAAGCTATATTTGCATCGGGAAACACGATCAAGGCATTTCTTCCTGCACTGCACTGTTTTCTTAGCTAAATGACTAAGTATAGTGGCAGAGGCATAGGAACTTGACCTGTTTATGTTTACTGGTCCACTTTTAACAAAATATGTTCTTAATGGACTATTTTGGTAATCTTATAGGTAAATAAAGCAACTACATCATTGTTCATTGGTTGTACAAACATCTTTAATGTGAACTTTGACTGATCTTGTGAAAGCCAGTGCAGAAATAGCATCATCCTCTATTAGCATGATTAGGCATGATGCTATTACCATTGTTACCAGACACAATTATTCCTAGATAGCCCTGCCAAAGGCAACACTGGTAACCACTAGTAACAACAAACTAACAGAGGTAACCAGTGGTGATGGTGGTTGGCATGGATTTATCATGTTTATGAATGAATGTTATTACCTTCACAGAGAGTATCATTTTAACCATTGCTGCTGGTTTGAAATCATTTTTGTTTACTTATTACAAGTTTCATAGCTAAACAACATCAGATGTATTTAAATACTACTACTTAAAAGTTTTATTTAGGACTCATAAGAAGGGAATGGGACCTTGAAGTTAAAGACTATAACACAAAAGACATTCCATGGTACAATCTTAATGAATTCTGAATTTTCTGCTCCGTTCAGTGATCATGTAATGCTAAAGGACGACATGAATATTGTCAAACTCATTGTAAAGCTTATCATGAGGACAGCTTGATAAGTATGTAAAGTCTACATCCCATAATTACCAGCTGGTCACTGACAGAGATGTGCAGATACGTTTGTGGAGTCTCAGGCCAGGTCGTCCCATGTCTGCCACATAATGGAGGCCATTTTGGAAGGATAGCATGTCCTGGGACACATGATTAGTAACCATGGTAACAGTCAGAATGTTAGAGATGTTGCAGACTGGAACATGGACTGGTCACTCTTTCGTCTGTCAAGGTCATTATTCAAGTCTATCACTGACAAACTTCAATGTTAATTAATGTACTTCTGGCTACCAGCGGATGTCATTTGTTGCCCAGGGTGCCGTTGTACAAAGCGATTTTAGCGCTAAGGTGATCGTAACTCCCATTCATTAACATAGACTTACGACAGTCGTAGTGCTAAAGTTGCTTTGTACAATGGTACCCAGAGTAGTTGTTTCTAACCATTCTACGTTTGGTATAAACACCAAATGCACTAAAGATCTTTACTGTTGGAGGGATTTGTAACTGTAAGTCACCAGTCATGTTGGATAGTAATAGCTGAACAGAATCCATAGCTATGATTTCCAGCCTATAAATCATTTCTCATTTTTACAGCTATTTCATTCTGTAAGTTATGAGCATACACTTAATAAATTGATGGCGGTCTTTGTACTTTCTTTAGCATATGGCACAGAACATGCTAATGTTGCTATGCCAGGTATATATTCACTAATTTCCCCATTAAAATCATGAGGCAAACATTATTCAATTTGATCACAGATTCTTCTGAAATTTTTAATTCTTACTGGTGTCAAGATGAAAGGTTGTTTGTTCAAATAGCAGGTACAGTATGTCTGCTAAGAACCACAAGATAGATACACGAGTAAACAAGTTTACATATCAGCCAAAGAAAGCCGATGTCTCGCACCGTCCATAATTGCGCAGGTTTCCTTACCCACCCCCAAATAGGTTTGTTATGGAAGACAGTTATGGAGCATGTAATTTCAGCACTTTCACTTGGACATTTAAACATGTTAAATACTTTCTACAAATATAATGAATATTTCTCTTGGAAATTGACTAAATGTATATAGGAAAATGGATATTCACAACAAAATCTTAATCGTCTTTTTCATTTTCCTTGCTCTTCACGATGACATGTTCCCGCAGTAACTTCGCAAACAGCATATGACTACACTTCAAGAGTGATCCCCCTCAATTAGGATAGAGTGACAAAGATATTCCGTAAACAAACACACATATAGGGAAGCCCCAAAATTATCAGGAACTCTGGCAATAATTTAGTTAGTAGGCATTGCCTGTTGCCTGGAGCTTATTTAAAGAAGTACATGCTGGGTTTCCTCATGTACATATTTATCAGAATGTGATATCAAGTCTTTTGGATTGTTTCATGACGTCAATAACAAAATCTGCTATATGATGAAAGCGTAAATATATGTAGAGAAATGTGTATATTTCAGAGTACTCAGTGCAACTGCCAGATTGTCAACCTGGGGGCGGGGTTCGACACAACGTACTGGAAGCTGAAGGATGCAGCACTATCACCAAAGAGTTTCGTGGAAGTCGACTTCCCCCCGGTTACCTCAAGAAAATGTCATTTCATCAAAACAAAGAAAGCTCTTATAGAGAAGATATCATCGGAAGGTTGTGTATTTTCAGTCTCTTTATTACATGTTAAATGAATCAAAGTTCTTATTTGTAAAACAAGTATTAACAAGAACTGTTTACTATAGATCATTAGAGACATTTGTATTTTTTCGTCATCATTCAAGGGGGGCGGTCGGGTAGCCTAGTGGTTAAAGCGTTCGCTTGTCACACCGAAGACCCGGGTTTGATTCTCGACATGGGTACAATGTGTGAAGCCCATTTCTGGTGTTCCCCGCCATGATATTGCTGGAATATTGCTAAATTGGCGTAAAATCGGGCATCTTTTGAATTTTCTTCTGTTCATGTGCTGCCCAAAATGTGTCAGATGTTGCTCTGTAAACTTCTCCTCCTGAGCAATGGCCAACCTAAGGAAGCTGACGTCAAATTTTGTTCAGATCATTAGGATTTTTATGTTAGTTATTGATTCTCAATATTCATGTAGAAATAGTTGGATATCCATTCTGACAGCCCACAACATGGATAAACATGTGTCAGTTACAATAAGCGAGAGACCGCCTCCGTTGTCTAATGGTAGAGCGTCCGCCCGGAGAGCGGAAGGTCCGGGGTTCGATCCCCGACCGCGTCATACCAAAAGACGTTAAAAGATGGTACTTGTTGTTACCCTGTCTGGCGCTCGGCATTAAGGGGCTAAAACAAGGACCGGTCGGCTCGGAGTCAGTATACTGTGTCTGAGTGGGGTATTCATGTTAAACTGTGGCATGGTATCTCAGTGAGCTAGCACTATAAATCGGCATCAGTCCGGACTAGTACAAGCAGCCACACACACACACACGTGCATGCACGTCGCTATATAAGTGCAATAATCTTGGACGCGACGTTAAACCCCATTTCACCTCACCACCTCACAATAAGCGAGACAAAACTCTTTTTGAGTAGTATACTTGGTATCGTACTGGAAATGCCGGGTGGTATGTGATGATTGGCGGGGCCTTCTAGACATGGAGTGTATGTCATGTACACAATTTGTAAAGTGTTCATTAACACCAGGGTATGAAACTCCCAAAAAATTCAGCCAGACCACAGGACTGGCTAGCTGAAATACTTGCCAGCCCTGACCAAAACCTGCCTGCCCACTATAATCATATGTTTCTCAGGATAATTTAATTAAAAATATGAAAACTGATTGCTTGTAGCATAAGCGCATCGCTAAATGTTAGGTTGTCTAAAAGCTAACGGGATTTCTTTTTGGTTACATTTTATCATTCTTCTTTACATGTGAATTAATGCTTATCATCGGGAAATATTTAGAATATTTTCACCTATGAAATATGACCCGACCGTCGGGCAGGGGGATTTGAAAATCTGGCAGCCCGAGTTGAAATCAACCCGTCTCGGACGGTCGGGCAGGCAGGTATTTCGAACGCTGTTAACACCCGTGGAGATCTGGGTTAGAATATGTCTTCAGCCACCCATGCTTGTTGTAACAGGAGACTATGCTTGTCGTAAGAGGCAACTACAGGATTGGGAGGTCAGGCTAGCTGACTTAGCTGATGCATGTCATCGCATCCCAGATGTTTAGATCGATGTCATAATGTCAGTCACGGTCAATATGGTCCAGACTCGATTATTACAGACCGCTGTCATACAGATGGAATATTGTCGAGTGGCGTTAAACAACAGACATGTTGATTCCCTTCAGATGATGAGATCATGGTGAGCAAGACGGAGATGCACGCAGCAGATTACCACATCGTGGCGGCCAACCTGAAGAACATCCCCGAGCTGGAGAAGAAGCTGGTGACGGAGTGCAAGCTGGACAAGGACCTGCCCACACTCTTCCTGGCCGAGTGTGTCCTGGTGTACATAGAGACGGAACGATCTCAGCACCTCATTCGCTGGATCTCCGACACCTTCAATACAGCATTCTTTATTAATTATGAGCAGGTCAGACAATGGTCATATTTTATTTGCAGCTTTATCGACCTGTGTTAAGTGCAAGCTAAAATTGAGCTCAGACTTGCAAACTAAGCTTATGATAGCCTGTGGTGTGAAAGAAATAATAACAGGTAATGATAGAATTTTTTTGGGATTGTTCATTAAATGGAAACAAGATGAGTTTTAGTGATTATTGTGATTAAAAGTAAAAGATCAGATTTTGTTTTTATGTTCTATGTTCTAGGATTAAGAAATATGTTATCAAACATCATGAACATGTCTAATAAATTTTTAATTTTTTTACGACAGATAAAACATTCAATTACTCATTTCGAAGTATTTCAATTTACTGAAGGGGAAAACATTTTTTTTAATGTGATAAAAAGTAATTCAAAATACAGAAAGGCTATGATAAAATTCTCTTTTTTAGCTCACCTGACTTAACCTATTTGTCATGTTAATGGCCATTACTCATCCATTTATGTTAAGGATGTAATGAATTTTATGTTTAGTTAGGCGGGAAGTGGGACTCAGCATCGTTTCACTCTTCGCAACTTTTATAATTCTACCCTTGTTTTGACAAGTTCTCCCAAAATGCATATTTAGCACTAAACTTCTCCTGAGCAATGGCCAGACTGAAGAAGATGTCATCAAACTTTGTTCAAATCAGTAGGATTTTAATATTAGTTATTGATCCTCAATATTTATGCAGAAATAGTTGGATATCAATGCTTACAGCAACTTTAAATCACTCTTGTTTACAAGTGGCTGTCTTTATTGATTTTGTAGCTGTTGACTACATATCCAGGTGAGCTATGGTGCATTTTTCAGTACAGTTGTTTGTCACTTTTCATGATCAAAACAGATATCCTGTTCAGATTCTTGTATCAAATATGAATATATGTAGGGGAGGTAATAGTGTATTAGTGGAAGAGTTTTCTTCCCTTGATTGATCACACTGCTATACAATGGGTGTACATGAAATGGAAAACCCTTGTAGGATGTACGTCCTGTGACTGTGACAGTGTGACTCTCCTCTACAGGTGATGTAGGGGAGATAATAGTGTATTAGTGGAAGAGTTATCTTCCCTTGATTGATCACACTGCTATACAATGGGTGTACATGAAATGGAAAACCCTTGTAGGATGTACGTCCTGTGACTGTGACAGTGTGACTCTCCTCTACAGGTGATGTAGGGGAGATAATAGTGTATTAGTGGAAGAGTTATCTTCCCTCGATTGATCACACACTGCTATACAATGGGTGTACTTGAAATGGAAAACCCTTGTAGGATGTACGTCCTGTGACTGTGACAGTGTGACTCTCCTCTACAGGTGATGTAGGGGAGATAATAGTGTATTAGTGGAAGAGTTATCTTCCCTCGATTGATCACACACTGCTATACAATGGGTGTACTTGAAATGGAAAACCTTGGTAGGATGTACGTCCTGTGACTGTGACAGTGTGACTCTCCTCTACAGGTGAACATGACGGACAGGTTCGGCCAGGTGATGATGGACAACCTGAAGACCCGAGATTGCTACCTCCACGGCGTCTCAGCTTGTGCAAGTCTGGACACTCAGATGAAGAGGTGTGTACAACTCATGCCCCGTCCTCCTTCTAGACCCATTGGGGGAAGCATCTTCCTGAGGCAAGGGAGTTAACTGACTGTAAAAGTCCAGTTTCCACCCTTGCCAAACTGGCTCGATCATGGTGCCATAACTGGCTATTACGAGTTATGTCCCTTCTATGTCCCTCCTGTTGACCAATCAGATTCCATCTCTCATATCACTTGCATTTGCTTCAAACAAAATGGCTGCACCCACTCAAGACAATCTGATCGATATTTGAATGAAGTAGAGAGTTATTTGTTTGCAGGTTTACTTCCAATGGGTGGACGAGTGCCGACTCCTTAGAAATATCCACTGTGTACAACTGTCTTCCACAGGCTGAGATACAGAGGTGAGATAGTTCTATTAATCACAATATAATCATAAAAACAGTGATTTTTTCATTATTAATATATGTGATTCAATCAGTTCCGCTGTGCGTAGTTCTAAGCTGCACGACCCATGAAGATCTGGGGAAGACTAGGTCTTCAGAAACCCATTCTTGCTGTAAAAGGCGACTTTGCTTGTCATAAGAGGTAACTGACAAGTTTGGGAGGTCAGGCTCGCTGACTTGGTTGATGCATGTCATCATATTCCTATTGCGTGGATTGATGCTCATGATATCAATCTCTGGATTGCCTGTTTCAGACTCGATTATTTACGGAATTCCATGTGGCAATAAACTACAAACAACCAATCTAAGCCGACAATTCGCAGTGCAGATGTGTGGATGGATGTGTATGTATGAGGGTGTGGATGGATATTTGGGTGGGGTGGGTGTGGATGGATATGTGGAGGTGTGTGTATGTACGGATGTGTGCGTGAATATGTATTTATCATTATCATCATTGTGTTTATTGTTCTGTGCCTGCAGATTTGAGCGTATTGAGATGATGTGTATGTATGGATGTGTGCGTGGGTATGTATTTATCATTATCATCATTGTGTTTATTGTTCTGTGCCTGCAGAATTGAGCGTATTGAGATGATGGACGAGCGGGAGCTGATGCACCAGCTATTCAGCCATTACTGCCTCACCTGGGCCTACCGGGACCTGAAGGACGTGGGCTTGGCGCAGATCGGCCTCACATGAACAACAGCTTTCACAGGCTGTCTACCACCAACTCAGAGAAAACATCAGTCTCAGTATAATCCGATCTTCACTCCGACATGCCACCTTTCTGCATGAAGATCTCAAGACACCTTCACAGCATGTCGCATAGGGTGAACTTTCTAATCAGAATCAGAGGCTTCTAAATTCTCAGTATAAATTAGCAAAATATTTAGACCAGCATTCCGATTTCTGGATCTTGAAAACAAAATTAACCAGTCTGTTCCAAATGAAAATGAAAAGCACGTAATATATTGTTGCTGATGTGTTTTGCACTCGGCTGTTTCTGAAAGCCATGGCATCTACACCCAAAAGGGAGTACATCAAAGAATATTTGTGTTCCGTGTTTCTAGTGTTAAAATTTAAATATCAAAATCAAGGTGAGAAAGAAATGAAGCTGAAATTGTTTTCAAAAGCTGACATCTGATTGACTCAAGAACACATGCATCCTTCATTTAGACTGGTCAGTCCAAGTTCGACCCTGGTTCACTCTCTGTGTAGGTGAGCTCAAATCTTCACGCAGAGAGATGTCCTATCAGCATGAAAGTCCTGATTATAATGAGATTAAGAAACCGTTTATGTGTTCCAAACCACAATACAACAGTACCTTGTGTGTGACAATATTTATTTTCAAAATATTTACACTGCAGATGACGGAATACATGAACCAGAGAAATTACACTGAACACAATTTCAGAGTTCTAACTCTACTGTACTAGTATGTATATCTTTTGATATATTTGGGGGAAAAATTGAACAAGTCATATCAGTTATTGATTATTATTGAAGGACTATTTCTTGCCTGCCTTCCGAGCATTATGTTGAAGCTGACAACGGGTTTCAGCTTATAGTTTGTATTTCAGTGTTGTGTGATGTTGTTATTGACACACTGTAGAGTGTGGAGCCGTGTGAAGGCTGGCGGTATGTTATCAGGGGCAGGATCCTGGTCCAGAAAGTCACCTTAGCACTAAAACTATCATAAATCTATGTTAAAGAATAAAAGTTATGACCGTCTTAGCGCTACCACTACTGTAAATCTATGTTAAAACATGGGAGATCTGACAGTTATGACAATCTAAGTGCTAAGACTGCTCTAATTGTTAGACAGTTGGAGATCTGACTGTTATTAAAATCTAAGTGCTAAGACTACTATAATTGTTAGATACTAGTAATGGAAATTCAGAGTCTTGGCTTGACGAATATCATAAATCTAGTGCTACAACTATTGTAAACTTATGTTAAAGGATCCAAGTTACGACCGTCTTAGCGCGGCGACTCTTGTAAATCTGTGTGAGATGAAGGACATTACCACAGTCTTGGGAACCAAGATCAGTTTGTGGAACGGGTCAGGGAAGAAGCAGCTTGTGTGATTCTGTGTTCAATATTTAAATATTTAGATTTAGATCCCCTCCGTATGAACCAGTAAACAAGTTGATAGGTTTTATATAACTGCAATTCTTACACATATATCAGTCAGTCAGGATCCAGTCTCACAAAGTCGTCTTAGCACCACAATTGTGTATAAGTATCTGAGTTACAACAGTCATAGCACTAAGATCAGTTTGTGAAGTGCCCCCAATGTTACATTACAGATTATTGCCCATGACTAACAAAATCTATTTCTCATTCCTGTATATATCATTGACAACAAAATTATTTATTCTGAATTTTAAAAAATTATTTTGATGAAATTCAAATTGTGACAGATGCTACAAAATTTGCCATTTAGTTAACTGTCAGGCTAATAATGTAATTACATTTTCTCACTGGAATCAAACCGTTATTTCTCACATGGATTTATAAGTGTGTCTCTATGTAAAGAGAGAATAATATTCAGAGCTGATAGGTATTCTGAAGATTGAATATTCCCGGAATATTTTTATACACAGATATATTTCAACTCTTGGAAAATATATACATGATAAACTGACTACTTCCATCCATCACTCGTGATGCTGATCACAGAAGGCGTGTGCATGATTGAGTGTACTTGTGAATACAATACAAACATGCAGAATTTCTTAAAAAGAAATCACAATAAATATTAAATACTGTATTCGACGTAATAAGCGCCCCGCTCTAATAAGCGCCCACGGCGATATTTGCTAATATACTGGCTATTGAACAATCCCAATTAGCACCCCTTCCGATTGATGAATGTACACAAGACTATTTATTCGCGCATAATACGTTTGTTATATGCACCCTTAATTATGGGCAGTTAAATTCTGGAAAATATATATCTGTCGTATATAAACATTTCAGACTGTCTGCATAAACCACAAAATTTACGATCTTTCAACTCTGTTGTTTTTCACCAAAATAATATTCTAATAAGAGCCCCGTATTTCTAATTTTGAGAGCGCCCTGGGCGCTTATTATGTCGAATACGGTAATGCAGTGACTACATTATGTGAAGTTTGGTGAACTAGTCACTCACAGATTATGGTTTTGTCCTTGGAATTTATCCATTTCAACTGCATAGCCTAGTGGTTCATGTGTTTCCCAGTCACAATGTGTTCAAGTCCTGCCAACTTACCTATGGTGAACCCCATTCCTTGTCCCTGATGCGATATTGCTTGCGTTACTGACAAAGACAATGTCTCAATCGTTTTCGTTTTATGCCTTTGTTTATGGATCCACCGTCCCGGAACATCTGGAATGTCGAAAAAGAAACCGAATCATTTTAATTGTTTTATTAACACCGAGCCTGATAATCATGCTCATGAATAAGAATCACAAATTGTTTTCCTGTCTGAATGAGATAGGTCCGATGACCCATGATTATTTGCTAAAATATTATACAAGGCTCGAGTTAAGGAACTTGAGTTAACTTGCAGCACATGCATGTTGACATGAAAACCAGGTTGCACCCTGGTTCCATGAATTTATCTAAGTAAATAAAATCTCCGATCTCTGATGACTTTGTCATGACTTATAATAGTTGGTACTTATTGTTAGAGTACTTATATGGCAATGTCGTCAATGGCAACCGTCATATAATGCATAACGATTAAAATCCCATGGTTGGCTTGTTAGCCAGTGGTGACGTGCTCAGTTTACTCTCTTTGTTTGTTTGTTTGTTGTTCAATGCCGCACTCAGCAATATTCCAGCTATATGACGGCGGTCTGTAAATAATCGAGTCTGGACCAGACAATCTAGTGATTGACATCATGAGCATCGATTAACGCAATTGGATGACATGCATCAACCAAGTCAGCAAGTCTGACCACCTGATCCCGTTAGTCGTCTCCTACGACAAGGTTTCTGTGAAGGATAACATTAGAAATATAACCATTATTACAATATTTAAGTTCTTATGTAAACATGAATAAAACATCTTCCATATTGGCAAAATACAGTTTAATGTCTGGTAATCCTGTATTTTTGGGGGGACCGAGCTTTATGGTAAAAAATCTACATGATCCAAAAAGATACATTTTATTTTGAAGACAACCAGTTTGTCCAGGCAGTTTGTTAAGCTGACCAATACTAAGGGGACTGTGAGGCAGCCCAATGGTGAGAGCGTTCACTCATCACACTAAAGTCCAGTGTTTGTTCCCAGTGTGAAGCCATTCTCAGTATGCTGTACTGTAATATGTCTGGAATGTTGCTAAAAGTGGCTTAAAACCTAATTTTGTTTCACCTCACACTATACTTTGTGGGAACTGTCCAGAAACTAACTTAGCATGGATGACCTTGAACTTATTGCCAATGGAGGATCTACACTCAAAAAACAGATTCTGCTCCACAAATGCAACATTCTTCAACGTGGCAAGGTAGAAGAGGGAGGATCAGTCAGTGTGCTTGGAGGAGGAGTTATTGACCATCTTGTGGAAGGTCAGGCCTATACGTACTTAGGGATGCAGATTAGGGACAAACTCCAGAATGCCCATATCAAGGGAAAACTTCGGGCAGAGTACAAATGTAGACTAAAGAAAATCTGGAGTTCAGAGCTGAACGCTCGCAATAAAGTCAAAGCCACAAATATTTATGCTGTGACCGTTCTTTCGTATTCTTTTGGTGTTCTTGATTGTACGAAACAAGAAATTCAGGGTATTGACACCCTCACACGAAGAATCATGTCAGACAATAGATCCCACCACCCTCGCTCTTCCCTCAATAGCTTATATATACCAATTATGATCGGAGGGCGTGGTTTGATTAATGTGGAGGCTCTTCGTGATAGAATTGTTTTGTGCACTTCTGCACACATTTATTTGTCTGATGATCCTCTTGTGAAGCATGTCAAGACTCATGATGAAAACAAGGCATTCCACAGTTTTCTAAAACGAGCCAAGGATGTGGGACATAACCTCAATGTCGGTGTTGATTTTGTTGATGGTTCTGTACTGCTGGGCGGTACAGAAATGAGTGTCAACCAAGCGAAGTGCTAATCAAATCGGCCCAGACTCAGAGGCTTTCAGAACGACCACTGCATCGAGTTTATGTGCAGTGTGTCGAGAAGATCAGCAATCCTGCAGAGGCCTTCACTTGGATGAAGTCGTCTGGCCTGAAAAGTGAAACAGAAGGCTTTCTGTTTGCTGCTCAGGACCAGTCACTTCCCTCTCGAAACCGTCAATGTGTGATTGTGCATCAAAATGTGAATATGAAATGTAGATTATGTAATGAGTTTAATGAGACTGTCCAACACATTGTGAGTGGATGCCCAGCTTTGGCACAGACACAGTATCTTAAACGACATGATGGGGTAGCTCGATCATTTTATTACCGTCTTCGCCATGCTTGTGGTTTTGACACCCGTGGTACGACCCGGAATATGTAGAGGGCGTCATGGAAAATGATAAATACAAAATCCTTTGGAATAGACCTGTATACAGCCTCAGATATATCCATGCCAACAAACCTGATCTTGTCCTGTTTGATAAATCCAATGAAATCATTTATATCATTGAATTTTCTGTCCCTTTTGACAGTAAAGTGATTGACAAGATTTAGGAAAAACATGGCAAATATGCCGACCTCGCTTTCGAAATGTCACGCTTGCATCCCAAGTTCCAAGTTGTCCGACTCCCCACTGTTCTCGGTGCCTTAGGTTTGGTACCTCCCAATCTATTGACTGACACCGGGAGAGTACCTGGGTTTGCTGCCAGGAATACAGCCCTTCTGACAATCTGGGTAATGCAGAAGGCTGCAGTGTTGGAGAGTCCTCACATTCTCCGAAAAGTTCTGGGTGGGTTTGACTAGGCAGCGCTTCTTAGGAGAAGTCACATTCGCTGTCTGGGCTGCGTGTAGAGGGGGCAAGGGCCCTGAGCTGACGATGAGCCTAACCAGCCTGACTGTGCCAGGATCACCCAAACCCTCTTTGCTGCATTTTTCTTTTTAATATGTAAATAATAATAATAATAATAATAATAATAATAATGTAGTGCAATTCCATACATATGGCTTATGCTCTATGCGCATCAACATTATATCGTTGATAATGATGACTACAAAAGCTTTGACACATTAAAAGCACTTTGAAATGTGCTCTTGGTTAAATAATGTGGTATATTTCCAAAATCCTGCAACTTTGGGGGCTTTCTTCCTGAAATACTCCAAAATCCAAACTCACTCAAGCACTTCAAATATACAACTGTTCAGTATACTCATCAGAAAGAGGAATGCACACACTGGTAGGGTACTTGCAATTGACACAGGTCATGGACTTATATTTTCTCGTGGCATTACCTTGTAAAATAAATATTGTAAGGAAGAAAAATGTTAAAATATCTTTTCAGGAACCAGACGTCACTGAAAGTAAGCTAAGTATCATGGATGATGATGACACTATGCACTGGACCCGTGAAGGTCCGGGATAGAATAGGTCTTCAGTAACCCATGCTTGCCGTAAAAGGCGACTATGCTTGTGGTAAGAGGCGACTAATGGGATCGGGTGGTCAGGCTCGCCGACTTGATTGATGCATGTCATCGTATCCCAATTGCGTGGATCGATGCCCATGATGTCAATCACTGTCTGGTCCAGACTCAATTATTTCAGACCTCCGTCATATAGGTAGAAAATTGCTGAGTGCGGCGTTAAACAACAAACAAACACTACGCATTGCCTGGTTAGTATGCAGCCATCATTACAACCAATTGCAAAGACGATAAACATTTCTGAAGTATTTTAGCAGCTTAATGCATTGATTTGAACTCATTGTAGAGATTCCCATTCCGGTTTAGCTTTTAAAACTTATAATCTGATTGTTGTGGTTATTTAATAAAAATCAAAACAACATATTCTAGTAAATGTTCAAATGATCAACAGTCATGTGAGTCAGCAATCTCTCTCTCGCCGTCATCGGAGTCTGCACTGGATGTTACACCCGAGTTGGTCATGTATCTTTCGACGTACGATGACGGAGTGTTATATATCAGAGTCATCACAGGGTTTAACACCCAAGTCAACAATGTATCTTTAGCTGTAGGATGACGGAGTGTTATATATCAGAGTCATCACAGGGTTTAACACCCAAGTCAACAATGTATCTTTAGCTGTAGGATGACGGGGTGTTATATATCGGAGTCATCACAGGGTTTAACACCCAAGTCAACAATGTATCTTTAGCTGTAGGATGACGGGGTGTTATATATCAGAGTCAGCACAGAGTTTAACACCCAAGTCAACAATGTATCTTTAGCTGTAGGATGACGGAGTGTTATATATCGTAGTCAGCACAGGGTTTAACACCCAAGTCAACAATGTATCTTTAGCTGTAGGATGACGGAGTGTTATATATCAGAGTCATCACAGGGTTTAACACCCAAGTCAGCAATGTATCTTTAGTCATATGATGACGGAGAGTTTTATATCAGAGTCAGCACAGGGTTTAACACCCAAGTCAACAATGTATCTTTCGACGTACGATGACGGAGTGTTATATATCGTAGTCAGCACAGAGTTTAACACCCAAGTCAACAATGTATCTTTAGCTGTAGGATGACGGAGTGTTATATATCAGAGTCATCACAGGGTTTAACACCCAAGTCAACAATGTATCTTTAGCTGTAGGATGACGGAGTGTTATATATCGTAGTCAGCACAGGGTTTAACACCCAAGTCAACAATGTATCTTTCGACGTACGATGACAGAGTGTTATATATCGTAGTCAGCACAGAGTTTAACACCCAGGTCAACAATGTATCTTTAGC